GCAATAATGACTTGTCGTACTTGAAGATTCCTTCCAAGATCGGTTATTACTATTACACATTTTGGATGAAAAAAAAATCTAAAGTAAAATAAAACTGTTATATTATTAAATAAATAATAAATTCAACTTACTTTGAGCGAACCATATGTTAACTTTTATTAAATCTTGTTCTGTTACATATTGCCGATCTATTTTTCTACAATCAGCGAGAGCCTGACGACTAAGCAACCAATTCGTTCTAAACGAAACAAAAAAAAAAAAATTCATTATAAACAAAAATTATATGCATAACGCAACATAAAATCTTACCCATGAGTTGAAGTCCAAAAATTTGCTGCCATCTTGACGAGAATAAACTTGAACAATGTAAAAAAGAACGTTCTTAAATAAAGTTTGTTGATCTACACTAACAATGGTGTTTGTTCTAATTTTCTAATTACCTTTTTAAAGTTAAGATTTTGTGCTACACAGCGAATGTACTAGATTGATAAAAAAAAAAATTTTTCGCGTTTCTCTTTTGATTAATAAATATGTTGAATTATCAGTACAATTTGATTTTAAATTCAACTCGTGGAATTAGAACGATAATATTGCAGAAAAGAACAAAGTACATAACTTTGATTAAACAACGAAATTTGCATGATACTCGTTCAAAAATCGATTATAGCATACCAGTACGTGTTAGGTTTGCGCCTAGTCCATCAGGTTATTTACATCTTGGAGGATTGAGAACCGCTTTATTTAATTATTTATTAGCACGCAAAACTGGTGGAAAATTTCTTTTGAGAATAGAAGATACGGATAGTGTATTACAATAGTTTTTTTATTATCTTGTGTGTCGTAAACGGAGTGATGAATATTTTGATAACAAATGATTTTATAGACACGGTTTGTTCCTGACTCTGTTGATGACTTGATTTCTTCTTTATCATGGACAGGCTTATCCTTCGATGAAGGTACACTATTACAAAATATTTTTTTGATATTCTTGTTTTTTTTTGACTAACCTATTAAAAGGTCCAGGAAAAGATGAATCTCTTGGCCCGTTCTATCAAGTATTTTTTTTTTTTTTATTTAAAATTGGCTTGATTGATTTGGATGAAATGTTTAATCAATGTTTTTCTAACAAAGTCTGAACGAACGAAGATATACAAGGAACATGTAGACAAGTTGATTAATGTAAAGATTTATATATCTAAGAATTGAAACAAGTTAAAAAATTCAAACATGATGAGAATTTTTAAAAAAAAATCTTTGGTTAGGATGGGAACGCTTATAGATGTTTTTGTACTTCAGAAAGATTACAACAAATTCGAGATAAAGCTCAACAATCCGGAAAAGGAGTTGCTTATGATAGACATTGTTTTTATTTGAGTCAAAAAGAAATTGACCAAAAAATATCAGAAGGAACTCCTTTTACAGTTCGCCTCAAGGTAATTTCTTGAAGTTTTTTTATGGGTACTTAAAAAAAGATGCTATTTACAATCGCATGCAATGTTTTGATAGACTCCTGAGGGTGTCGTAACTGTAAATGATTTAGTCTACGGAATTGTGGAATTTAATGATAAACATATTGATGATACTATTCTGTTAAAAAGCGATGGATATCCAACATATCATTTAGCCAATGTAATAGATGATTATTTGATGAGAATAACTCATGTATTACGTGGAGAGGTGAATTTTTTTTTTTCATGTATGCGTAAAAAAAATAATTTTTTAATTGATTTTCTATTTTATTAGGAATGGTTATCTTCTACTCCAAAACATATAATACTTTATAAATTATTTGGATGGGAATTACCAAAATTTGCTCATTTGCCATTATTATTAAATCCCGATAAAACCAAATTATCAAAAAGATTAGGAAATGTTAAAATAAAAAATTTTGCCGAAAAAGGTTATTTACCTGAAACTCTTATAAATTTTGTTGCATTATTAGGATGGAGTCCTGCAAATTCAAATAAAGATATCTTTACAATGGAAGAATTAATATCTGAGGTGCAATGCTTAATCATTTTATTTATTTATTTATTTTTCATTACTTCTTAAATTAAATTTTTACAACAAAAAAAAAAAAAAAGTTTACAATAGAACATATTGGACGATCTGGTTCTGTTGTTATGATTGACAAGTTAGATTGGTTAAATAAACAGCATTTATTACGTAAAACAAAATCTAAAGACGGATTAAAAGAAATCGTGAATTTATTAAAAACTTCCGTTAATGAAACATTTGGAGAAAGGTATTGCACTCCTTCAAAATATATTCCCTTTATTGTCTAAGAAATTGATTTTTAAAAGAAATCACGTGTTGTTAGATTGAAATCGACAAAGGATGAATATAGATTAGAAGATGAATATCTTTCAAATGTTATCATGACAATAAAAGTAAGTATGATCTATTCCACAAATTTTAACGTGTATTGATTTATAAAATAGAAAACCTTTTTTATTTATATAGGATCGAATTAGAAACGTTAAAGAAATACCAAAACTATGTGAATATTTTTTTGTTGATCCGGATTATTCTTCACAAGATTCACGATCATTAAGAAAAATAATTTCTGATGATACTCTAAAATCGATATCTAATCTGATTTTAAGAAAATTAAGCGATCTTAAAATTGATGAGTCGGAATTTCAAATTGATAATATTAAATCAATTATACAAAGCATTATTCTTCAAACTGGTTATAAACAACGGGAAGTTATGATGTCTTTAAGATATATTATAACCGGAATTAAGGTAAAATTTCATTTATTTGTTCGTTTGTCGTTATTTAGTGTGTAGTGCATATGAAATTATATAAATTATATCCATTACTATTGTTAATGTATTATGTTGATATGTATATTATTATTAGGTTGGTGCTGGTGTAGCAGAAACAATGAAAACAATTGGAATAGAAACTTGTTTAAGACGTATTAATAAAATATTAGAATCAATTGATGATTAAAAAATTTTTGATCTTAAAAAAAAAAATAAATAAATAATAAATAAATAAATTAATGTTTTTTTTTTAACTTGTAATTAATTGATGTGTGAATCATAAATTATATATATAAAAAAAAAAGCTCAACCCGTGTATAAATGATTGATTTCATAAGTCCAGCCAATTTTTTTATTCTAATCTAACGAAATAACCTTACGGAGAAATTTTATTTTGTTTTGACATTCTGACTTAACCAATTCAATCCTTCAAATAACCCTTCCCCAGTAGTTGCGCAAGATGGATGGACATACCAAGATCGTTCTTTCATGCGATGTAAACCAAGTTTTTCGGTTACTTCCGCAGGAGACATTGCTATATAACAAAAAAAATATTAATGAATGTTTCACATTTATAATTAATTGGAAAGGAATTAAAAATATACGTACCCCCTGGTAAATCCTGTTTGTTAGCAAATACTAATAATAAACAATCTCTCATTTCACGATCTGAAATAATTTTATGTAACTCTTGACGAGCTTCATCTATTCGATCTTTATCTTGAGAGTCGACCACAAATATAAGTCCCTGAGTACCGGTATAATAATGACGCCACAATGGACGAATTTTGTCTTGACCACCAACATCCTAAATATAATTTTTAATAAATAAAGTTTAGATCTACAAATCATTAACTGATTATATTTTAATTACAAAAGTTCATATACTAACCCAAACATTAAATTTAACATTTTTATATGTTACTGTTTCTACATTGAAACCGACTGTAGGAATTGTTGTTACGGATTGATTAAGTTTTAATTTGTATAAAATTGCTTAATAATCACAATTGTTAATTTAATAGTTAATGATAATAAAAATTTAAGAGATACGATTATTCGTCAATCTTGTACTAAAAATATTTTAGGATAGAACGATTAGAAAACCTGAAACAGTTTCAGATTGTATAAAAAGGATACTTGTTTTACCGGCAGCATCCAGACCAAGCATCAAGATGCGCATTTCTTTGTTACCAAAGATCTTGGCCAAAGCTTTTGAAACTGTTCCACCCATTGTTGCTGTAAGGAATTAGATTTGGTTTTATTAAAAAAAAAAAAAAAGGTTAGGTCTATTAATTTCCGCGATGACAGATAAAGTCGGGAGAATAGGATTCAAAGAAAAAAAGATGGAAAATAGCTGGTTAATGCGCGGAAGTTATTTCACCGTTGGTGATATTACAGAAAAACCACAAGGGAATACTAGGAGGGTAGATTTAATGATTTTAGATTTTTTATTTTAACCTTTTCTACCTTTACCGGTTTAATTTCGATCGACATAGCACAAGATGAACGTAAGGCAGTAAGGCTACACAGAATTTTATTGTAGCTTTCTAAAAATGAATTTCGAACTTGCGGCAACTATTTGTGATGTGAACCGAACTCTATTTATTTACTTTTGTTGGTATATTAATAGATAGATACTATATAATTTTATCAAATATGCAAGTTTGATTAATCTAAATTATAGAAGAATTAACTGAAAATAAAGACGTAAGTGACACAATAAAAATAAAGTGGCTTTATTTTTAATCTTGTTTTTAATTTCAGTTTGAATATTTAAATACGAATAAAAGGTCTTTCAGCATATAAATTTATCCTAATTATCGATTAGAGGTTTATCCCTAAAGATTATTAATCATTATAATGATATAATCGTTTTCTCATTATAAAATTAGCAGTTAATAAAAGACATTGTTATAAATAAGGATAAAATAGTTTGATTGCTACCACCGTACAAAACAAAAAAGCTTCTTAACTTCAGATTTCGCGCATCTGGAATATAGAAAAATCAACTTTTCGTTTGTTTATACTCATAATTCACGAAACATTGAGCTTTAAAAAGCCAAAATCTTTATGTGCGTTTAATCTTTTCCCCCATATCAAGCTATCTATATTGGCAATAAATATTTACCATTAATTTTACTTTTCTTTAAACCAAGGATTAGATTAATAAAATAGAATTAATTTACGATCAAACGAATTAATTAAAAAAAAATTAAAAAGAAAGCGCCCGGAGTGGGGCTCGAACCCACGGCCTTAAGGTTTCGGACCGAAATTGTCGGTTAAAAGCCTCACGCTCTACCGACTGAGCTATCCGGGCTAATTCCTTCTCGATAGTATATATTTATACATCTTTTTTATTTCAACTAAGGGATTGCCACAAATTAAACGTCACAAGAAACTACGGTAACATTTATGATAAAGCAGCTGTACTATTGTGAAAATATAATGCCTTAAATAAATTTTAAAGAATCATTGTACCAAATATGCATTATTATTTATATTTTATTGATTTTATATTCACTATTACAAATTGTATTGTTTAGAATTAAATGATTTAAATGACAAATATATAAAAATTAAATATTTAAAAAATAATATTTAATTCTTTTAAAAAGAAATATAATATATATAATAACTTTAAATTTCTTTTGAAAATAATTATAACAATATTATTTAAATAAAGCAAATAAAATTAAAAAGAAATGTAAACTAAAAAAGTAAATAAATTATGATTTAGTTAGTAGAGTCTGAAATTATTTTTGTATCTTTACGAATCAAGTAAATTTATTTTTTTTAAGAATATCAAAAGTTGAGGAAGAAACGGTCATTCATCAATAATACTTTATAATTAGAAATTTGACACATAAAACTATAATGGAAAAGCTTTACTTTAGTTAGCAAGATATTTCTTAATAGCGACTTTTGCTATTACTCATCGGAATTGTCTATTTACGGAATAATAATCTAAATTTTATTCACATATATACAAAGCATTCAATTACGGTATTACCGTGTTACGGTATCACAGTATAAACAAATTCCGATTGTCGCTTATTATTGAATTTAAGAAACCATCCGGCATCCAGCAAAAATAATGCGCGTCAAAGTTGCCTTGTTATTATGAAAGCAGTATCGGTTACGGAAGTGCATCAATGCCGACAAATTTAAGATAATGAGCTTCTAATAGTTCCGGTCCTTGAGTAAATTGGATTTACTACTAATTTCATTTTTCAAAGAATATCTGCCAATAATACACATTAAACACAATAATTGTCGCAAACAAAAAATGGTGATTACCAAATGTTACTATTTTCAAATAGATCAAAGAAGTTTAGATGTGTTGTACAGCTGAATTGAATGACCACTGATTTGGAATCTTGTATTAATTGCTAAATCTGGATTTACTATGAAAAAAACAATTTTTTGAAACAAGAATCACTAAAGTTAAATGAAATTCTTTTGTAAATCAATCCTCTAAAGTGTTTTTTCTTGTAAGATAAGAAAGAAATTTTAATTTCTCTTTCGAGGATAATCATTAGCCCATTTTCCGTTAAGAAATTAAAAATTTTACCGGTTTATCCGGTGATACTTTTTTATCAAGCCGCATTCCCGCATTTGAACTTACCAATCAACAATCAGCCACCTTATTTCTTCTTATTTGTGATTATAATAATCGGGTAAATATATTTCACAAGGGAATTATTTTTTTAGTACCACATTATTTCAATATTTAAATCTGCATTTTGGATTCAAAAAAAAAAAAAAAAAAATCTTGTCATTGAAAAAAAAAAAAATTTACATTATAAGAAAAAAAGAAAAATCCTTGATAAAAAATTATGGAAGCTATTGTAAAACAATGTAAGAAGGCTTGTCCTTTCTTACATAATTCTACTACAGCCTCTCTTCGTAAACTTTCTCGTATGCCAGCTCCCGCTGGTTTTATTTCCGAGACAAGTGGTAATGTGCGGGCTAATGCTTTGACTATCATGGCGCAAAAATGTCCAGTTATGGGCAAAGCTATGGCAGTTCAAAGTAAAAATTATTTGCATACTTCTGCTAGATTGGCAAAACAACCTACTCTTCCTTTGAAACAAGCTTCTTTGGTTAATAATGAAAATGAAGCTTGTGTTGCTGCTGCAGCTATGCTAAACCAATTTCCGACAATTCACTCATCTCATGCTAAACCATTTGACTACGAGACACTTTATAAATCTGAATTAGAAAAAAAACATCAGGATAAAAGTTATAGATACTTTAATAATATTAATCGTCTCGCTAAACAATTTCCGAGAGCTCACACTGCTAATTTACAAGAAGAAGTTACTGTCTGGTGCAGTAATGATTATCTTGGAATGGGAAGAAATCCTTTGGTTCTTGACGCTATGCAGTAAGTTTTCAATTTTATTCTATCAAAATTTAACTTGTACATTAAAAATTTATATATTTATATATTTATTTTTTTTTTTTTATCTAGAAAAACTTTGAACAAGTATGGGGCAGGTGCTGGTGGTACCCGTAACATTGCTGGTAATTGTAATTTACATTTACAACTTGAAGCTGAATTGGCAGATCTTCATCATAAACCTTCTGCACTCGTTTTCTCTTCATGTTATGTTGCTAATGATGCAACATTAAGCACATTGGCATCAAAATTACCGGGTTGTGTAATCTTTTCGGATTCGTCAAATCACGCTTCGATGATTCAAGGAATCAAACATTCGGGAGCTAAAAAAATGATTTTTAAACATAATGATTTACAAGATCTCGAAGCAAAATTGCAATTAGTTGATATCCATACTCCAAAAATTATCGCATTTGAGAGTGTTTATTCTATGTCAGGATCGGTTGGTCACATTGAAGAAATTTGTGATCTCGCCAAGAAATATGGTGCAATTACATTTTTAGATGAAGTTCACGCTGTCGGTATGTACGGACCTCGCGGTGGTGGTGTAGCTGAGCATTTAGATTTTGATTTAAATGCTCGTTACCCCCATACAAATAATGGAAGTATCGTTGATAAAGTTGATATTATTTCTGGTACTCTTGGCAAAGCTTTCGGAGTTGTGGGAGGCTACATAGCTGGTTCATCTGCTTTAATTGATATGATTAGATCTTACGCTCCTGGATTTATCTTTACTACCTCCCTTCCACCTGCCATTGTTGCTGGAGCCAAAGCTTCTATTCAATATTTGAAAGAATCTACAAAAGAACGTGAAATGCAGCAACTCAATACTCGTTTACTTAAAAATCGTTTGGCTCAATTAGATATTCCTGTAGTACCAAATCCTTCTCATATTGTACCAGTTCTTGTTGGTGAAGCTGAACCTTGCAAAATTGCTTCTGATCAATTATTACATGAACATGGTATTTACGTTCAATCAATTAATTATCCTACCGTGGCTAAAGGAGAAGAAAGATTGAGAATTACTCCTACTCCCGGTCATAATGAAAAAATGACCGATTATTTGGTTAACGCTTTAGAAACTATATGGAGAAAAAATGGATTTAAGAGAGTCAGTGATTGGAAAAATGCAGGTGGAAGAGCTGGTGTTGGTACTAACGCTCCAAATCCTAAACCTGTTTGGACTGATAGCCAATTGAGACTTTTATCTGGTCACGGAACCACCGAAATTAGATCTTCTAATGTGCTTAATACTGATCATTCAACTGCAGAAAATAACCCTCGGGTTATTGGAATTGCTACTTACTAAAAATTATAGCAAAATTCTCATTTAAGAAAATTGAAATATATTTATTCTCAAAAATTAATTATTTAAATTTGTTATCGATATGTTATGTTGAATTCAACATATTATTTTTAATGTACTTTTATTATCTAAATAAATTTTTGGGAATTATCAAATTTTGATATTCTAGATTGTCACTTAATAACTAACCTTATTTATATAATGATTTTATGAATATGGCAGATCCTTTATTATCTGAAACAATTAAAATGCATAAATAAAGTTTAAGTAACTGATTGACTGGTTAGATGTTAAAACGTGGCAATACGTCAATTACCGGATTATCAAATTAATTTCCTGTTATGGTTGTTCAATTTATGTTTGAAAATATGTTGTGCTCAATGAAAAAAAAAACCAATTTATTATTAAAATTTTTTTAACGATAACACTAATTCAGTTTAAGTAATTTATATTTGTAATGCCTAATGGTATAACAATTTAATTTAATTTTTCCTTGGCGATTTTAGTATGGCTAAAATATTTTACCAAACTAAAAACACGTCTAATCTAAATTTGATAAATTTATTTGCATCTTTTCGTACAGATATAGGATCGATCATCGTTATTTTAAGAAAAACGGTACAAACTAAAATACCTTTATTCCTTATCCAATTACTACATATCTAATCTGACCACCTCCTCGAACTTCTTTAATTTTGCCACAATGTCTCAAAATAGATATTATAGCACGACCATTTGCATCCATCTTAAAGTTGATTTTTTGATTGGTTGTTTTAAGATCGTTCTCAGTAATAAAGTCCTTTCCTTTAATTACAAGGTATGATCATTCTTTATTAGGAATTACAAGTTAAATCGTCATTTAATGATTAATTAGTAAAATACCTCTTGTTTCTTCATTATCGGCACCTTTATATTCCTAAAAATAGTCCCCAATTAATATATATTTAATTTTTATTTTTTTTTATTTTTTGAATAATCAGAATTTATTAACTTACCCAATATTTTTGTTTCATATTATGGTTTAGAGAACTTTGCTGAGAATTGAGAATTGTATACTTTTCTTGCACGACTTTGTTGAAATCGTCAATAGCCTCGTTTACTTTATCACGTGATATACGATTGTTAAGAAGATATCTAATAAAATATTAGAGATACAATAATTAAGGGAGGAATTTTCAATTTTTAAATATTAACTCAAACATACTTTGGTATAGAATTAAAATCCGTTACTGTGATATACGACAACCCTAAAGCTACAAAATTATTATTTGTAGGTTTCTGAGGTACATAAAATGGATTCTCTTCATAGGGTAAATCAATTTCCTGTAATGTGTCTTGTTCTTGTAATTTGTTATCCCTACATAAAACCATCCATTAATATTAAAAAAATTGTGCGTAAATTATTCATGCATATTTACGATGGATAAACGTTTGTCCGACCAATTGTCGGATATTCGATATTTCCTGGTAAATGTTTTGGTAAATGTTGATTTATCCACTCCAAATGATCATGTTGTGACTGTAATTTAGCTCTAATTTCCTTCAAAATATAAATTTGGCAGAATAATATTAATTAGCAAAATTTTTTTAAAAAAAAAAATACCACATC